TCAAAATGCTACTCCTCCTACAGTTTTGGTCTGATTTTGATATAAATTGGCAAACAAGTAGACTACACTAAGATACATAATTCTGTGCATCGGTTTTTGATTTCAATGAACAATGTTGCCATGGTTACTAAAAATAGAAATTTCTGTGAAATTCTTTCAAAATGCTACTCCTCCTGCAGTTTTGGTCTGATTTCAGTATAACTTGGCACACAAGTAGACTATACTAAGATACATAATTCTGTGCATTGGTTTTTATTTTGATGAGTGGCAAGGATCATTTTTCTATTTATTGCTGATTTAAAGTCTCAAGTCCCAACTGCTACTTTTCTCTTCCTTTGTTTTAAGTATAAACCAGTAGAGCTACAGTCTCGACAGAGACTTCTGGTTTCAGATATAAATCATTCATAAATTTTTTTACTTGTGCTATGTATCTATTTATCATCTATGGATCATCTGTCTGCCAAGTACAATGTACTATTTCCCAACTGATTGTACTATTAAACAAGAATATTTCATGGAGAAATATTTGATAACATTTCATGCTTCCACATTAAAGGTACCTAACAATTATGTTAAAGAACCGCCTGTTCCTTAAGTTTTGTTAAAAGACTAAAAAAGAAAATACATGTCTGTGAAAATGATACATACATTTATTTAAATGATTGGGAATTGCATTAAAGGGGAATAACTTTTTATGAAAAAACAACTTCACATTAATATGCATTACATAGATTACCTGTACTACACAGACATTACTTATGAATTATATTAAGCTAGAACACAAGTTCCATTTACCGGTACATGGGAATTAACCAGCAGTCTATTTGGGTATACTTTTGTTCCATCATTGCATGATATAATTACTATGTGCTCGCATGAAAAAGACCGCTCACTATTTACTGCTGATGCAAACTTGAAGGCCATAAGAAATAAGTACATGTCTAATTTTGAACAAACAGACATTCATACATACAACAAACAAAATAGTATTAAAATTCTAACACACAGCAAAGGTTTTTAAAACCTCTGAACAAGTCTTTGTCGCACAGCAATTCCATCATTATCCAAGCACTGGTACACAACATTGTCTTGATAAAGCTGGACGGGTTCATTTCCACCAATTACTGGAATCCCGGCATCTATCAAACAGCACTCGATAATCTTGATACATTTTTCAGGTGCAAACTGTAAAGTGCCTCCTGTTTTATGAATGCATCTGTAAATCAAATTCTAGTATTTAGATTACAATATGTTTTTATATACGTCAAAAACTTTTTCTGTATTGTTTGCAGAATATTAGAAGGAATTAAACTCACCTCAGGTTAATTTGTAAATGTTACAATGGAAATATGGTACTACAGTGACTACTACCTTTATAGTTTCCTTTCAATTCTTTTCAACAGTGCCATTGAACTGAATTGTTATTTATATGAGTATTTTATTTATACCTGAATCTTCTCTTGAGGACTCAAAATGCCCTCTCAACTGTATTTCTTGTGGTGCAGTGGGCATTGTTGTACCTCTGCTCCTGAGGGGTCCTGGGGTCAAGAGCCATTTCCTGAGTGGATCCCCAGAATCCCCCAACAGCCAACCATTAACTCTCCTAAGTAGATTTGGAAGCGAGGAATTTTGCAGAATAAAGGAGTCGTGAGTCGCTCCTGGCCACCTCACCACTATGTTTGAAAATCTGCATGTGAAAGGTAACATTGTTATAAAAAAAAAAAATTGGGCATTGTTTTGATTCTTAGTCAACATGTTTAATTTTCAAAACAGTTACTTGTTATTTTAAAATTACGTTTACCGAAGGTTGGCATCCACAACACCTAGTACATTTATTGCGGGAAACCCTTTTCTGCAGATAAAATTGGGCTCCTCATCCCCTGTCATGCTTTGGATTGGTATCAGCGTCCCATCAATCGCCCCTACAACATTTGGAAACCCTGCAACCTGATAGAAGTCCTCTTTCACCTTTGAAAGTTCTTCATTTGACTCAGGAAACTTAACATTATCCAAGGACTCACACAATGCAGAGGTAACACAGATTACGATCCTGGAAGCGGATGATATGGAAATTCCATGAAGATCGCCAACCTCAGACAAGAACTCTCCTTTGGCTAAAAAGCGTAGAGTTGTCAACACCTGAAATATTTTCAATTCAATTAAATACAGTATTCCAATAGGGATAGAATTTTTACATATTAGGATTATATTATAGAATGTTCATCGTCGCAAACCACGCCCAAAATGTACGCTCCTCTCCCAGGAGAGAGTTATATATGCGGACTCCGGACCGTGGCTTTAGACGATGTAGAATGTTTTGACTCAGGTCAGCATTGTGGCCCAAAATTGGGAGGGGGCACAAAGTTTAAATGTAAATGGCAATAAAGCCACAGGTTGTCAAAGAAATAAATATGCAAGCACCTTTAGTTAGTGTAGACTCAAGTTTCTTCAAATCATACCCTTTAAGGATTGCTTGGGAACACTTTTGGGTTTCAACTTTTCAATGCTAGACTGATTTTTTTTTCCTAGTCATAGTGCACAGGTGAGCGATGTGGCCAATGGGCCTCTTGTTTTATATTTTTAACTTCTCCTACAGAACCACAATTAAATTAAGCAATGCAAGCATCCTTGGGTGAAGGAAATTCAACAAGTATGAAAGATATATTTAATTAAATAAGGATGGCTACATCATTTATATGTAAACAAAGTTGTGATTTCTAATAATACAATTAATATACAGAAATTAACATTTAATAATTGATCCTATGTGTGAAACTATGGCAATTAAAACTTTTTTGTCTATTACTGTTTACAAGTAGTCATAATAATAGTAAATTTAAAGTGTCTCAAGGGTTGTATCAAGTTAGATTATTTTGACATGACCTTTTTTGGCTAAGGTGGGACAAATCATAGAATTATGTTTAAAATAATAGACCAATAAATGAAATTAATTTCCTATTACTTCAATTTAAAGTCAAGTTCCCATAAAAAAAGGTATCTAACAAAATTAATTCTTGCAGCCTACACAAACTAGTGGGTTTTTTTTCAATATATGTATTATACATGCTAGCAGGGACCTATATACTTACTAGTGTATAGGTCGCTGATGCTAGACACTCGAAGGACCTAATTTGTTTGGAGACGAAATTTAGATATACCGTAAATTCAAGGGGACGAAACCCACTGACAACCGTTAGGTTAGTTCTTTTGTGTTTCGAGTTGAAAAAGAAGAGACTGAAAGCAAAACTTGCTTGGATATGTGAAGGAGAGACTTCGAACACAAACTAACGTAATACTATAGTAAGCTCAAAGCGCATGCGTCATTTCTTTGTTGATCGAATTTTCTCTGGTTGAACTATAGTTTCTCCAACATGGCTGATATCGAGGACTTTTTTTATTTGTTTCTTGAAACTTTACTAGATGATGTAGAATTAGAGGGCAGATTTTTTTCTAATGCAGAAAAAACACTGCATGCGATCCAGACAAAGAGAGACAGAGTACCTAAAGTAGAAGGATACGTTGTGAATGTTGTACAGTTGATGTCTGATCCTACACATATTGATGATTTTAGAGTACATTTCAGACTCAGTAGAGAATTATACATTGTCATTCTTAATGAAGTGTTTGTTGTCCTGCAAAGAAATGGTCACGGTCCTCAAGCCACAGTCCCTCCCGACAAACAGCTGCTTGTAGCGCTTTGGTACCTAGCAAATACAACATCTATGAGAGAGGTTGCACATTTGTTTGGGTTATCAATTTCAACAGTGCATGGGATAATAAAGGATGTTTTCAAAGCTCTAGGTCAATTAAGCAAAAGGGTAAGATAGTTCACACCCAAAAACGTATGTTGCATTATAAATATTCTTTTATAGAAATATTTTATAATAATTGAATATAATATATGTATATAATTTTCTAAATATTGCAGGTAATTAAATGGCCAAATCCAGAACAGCAAAGACAGACGGCAGATGAAATTCAAGAATATTGCAGAATTCCAGGAGTTATAGGATTCATTGATGGATCCCACATTCAACTATCATCAGCTTTGCAAGGGGAAAAAGACTACTACAATAGAAAAGGATTCCCTTCTATACAGTTACAGGTTGTAGTGGATCATACACTGAAGATTATCAATTGTTACACTGGTTGGCCCGGATGTGTTCACGACGCACGTGTACTTCGTAATTCCTCACTATACCAGAAAGCTGAGAATGGAGAAATGTTTACACAGAACCATTTCATACTAGGTGATAATGCTTATCCCCTTAGAAATTGGTTGATAACGCCATTTAAGAATTTGGGCAATCTCACGAGACAACAACTTAAGTTTAATAAAAGACTTTCAAGTGTGCGACAAAATGTAGAGAGAGCCTTTTGGCACCTAAAAGGGAGGTTTCGAAGGCTGAGGGATGTTCCCCTCCATGACCACAAAGACATATGTACAATGATTTATGCAGCGTGCATTTTACATAATTTGTGTGTACAATACAACGATGATGTAGATAGTTACATCGAACAAGTAAATGATGTTCATCCAAATCAATTTCAAAACATTTACCAAAATGGCATGCAGGAATTGTACGGCGACTTCAGTTGGTTAACATTCCTTAACTCTCTTGTTATCCATTAGTCTGTGTATTTGACAGTAGCATTTCAAAACTGCATTAAAATGTTCAAAAATAAAAAAAAAAAAATTATTCTTATTTCCTTTGTGTAATCAGCTCTTTATTCCTTCAAAAAGGAAACTGTACAGGTTGGTATGTTTGCTCGCTTCATGACTATAAAATTAAATACATATTAAACTCATGTATTTGCCTTATTTTGAAAGGATTTCTTTAGGTTTGAGCCTATTTTCAATTTAGAAGTATGAGAAAATAAAACTTATGCAAGATTTCAAGATTTAATCATCATTCAACAACATATGAAATAAAGTTGTATAACAAAAATAAACAAACATAGTATTGCACAAACCTACTTTGGTAAATTAAAATCATCATTCAACAACATTTGAAATAAAGTTGTATAACAAAAATAAACAAACATAGTATTGCACAAACCTACTTTGGTAAATTAAAAAAACAACAAAAAAAATCAAAAAATGAAGTACATTGCATGAACCTATTAGGTGTGAAACAAAAAAAAAAACAAAACAAAATAATGAACATGAAATTTATCATTATTGTCCATAAAAAAAAAATGTAAAACATAAATTCAGCTGAACACAATTTTTTTCAGCTCAAAAATTTTCCATACACAAATTTTTCCCCTAAGTTTTATTACTTCAAATTCTCAGTAACAAAATATCCAAATGTATCTATTTCTTCTCAAGACTTCTCTCAAACAGATCCAAAAATCTATCCATTCTTGCCATCTTTTCATTGTGAAATTTTTCAATTTTCGAGTTAAATTCTTTTTCACTGTTTGATAAATCTTCCAATACCTTAGATGTCTGCAATTTCCTTTTTTGGGGGAGGTTTTTAACACGTTTTGGGTGAATTTTCCGGGAAGACCTCGCTGATTTGCTAGGGCTTTCTTCTGGGGAGGGATCATCACTAGTTATAGGACTGCTAGTGCTACTGTCCAGTGTTGTACAGGGTTTTGCGGATGGTTTAGTGCCAAAAACCAAATCGAATTCCTCTTTCAATCGAAAGTCTTTTCTCTCTGTTCCTGTCCCTGCATCTATGATTTCTTTCCACCTCTTTTTTAAGTTGTTATATTTGTTTAATGCTTGCGTGCAAGAAATTTTATTTTTAAATACGGTGGAGAGTTGGTTTGCAATTTCTTGCCATAAAATGCCATGGTTCCTTGTTTTTAAGAACAGATCCTGCCTCTCATGCCGTAAGTGGACCAACATATCTTCCTCTTTTTCATTCCACACATGCACATACCCTGATGTAGAGGGCGCTGACTCTGATGTAGAGGGAACTGACTCTGATGTAGAGGGAACTGACTCTGATGTAGAGGGGAAATCAGTTTCTTCTGACTGACTGGATGGTGGAGGAGCTGGAGGGGGTGGTCTTTGGAATTGTGGAACAGGCTTCTGATTTTCAATGAGCATTTTAACGACCATGTCTTTCAATGCTGGATCTAAAATACAAGTTCTTTTTAGTACATTTACATGTTGAGATTTTATCCAAATCATTCAAGTGGTCAACAAATTACAATACATTAAATAACAAAATATCAGGGACATATAAACTATGTACATACTACATAGTATATAAGTCCCTGAAAATATGTACAATAGTTTTATGTTTGAGTTTTGCTTCCTAAAAAAACATTCAGGGGAGTCATAATAATTTTTTTAAAAAACAGTACGTCCAGACTGAAAAATTCTTTGCACTCAAATTAAGGAAAAAATCACATATCTATTTTTTTTTCAGATGAACATATAAATACTTTATCTTATTTGGGGTACAATTATTCAGGTGTATTTACCTATATCTGGAGACAGTAACTGGTTTTTCACATGCTCATCACATACCAGTGTGAATGAGGTGCCATTTGTTCCTTTGATGACAAGTCTCGGCATGCTGGAATATGATTCAAGTTCAAAAAGTTTATTTTGAATAGAACTCAATAATGTCAATAACTAGATGGAAAAATATGCCAACAACACTTGACCAGTTTAAATTTAAATAATATACTTAAGCAGCTTTATGAATAAATCTGGGTATGCGCTGTGCATTTATACACCGTGTTCGGATAATGAATTTGAAATGTATAGGTTATGATTCATACTTGAATTAAAACTGGATAACACGAAAACACCATGCACATAGTACATCTGTACGGATTGAACACATTTTTCTCACCTCTTTAATATTTAGTCCTTCTCACTGCTTGTTTTCTTCAAAAAGTACCGCCTGGAAAAACAATTTTAAATTCTATCAACATAAACAATCATTTAGCAGTCAAAATTAATCATAAAACTACAATACACGGTTTCAAATGTTGAATTCTTACCAAAGGCCGCCATTTTGAACTGGACTAACCATTGAAATGAGGTGGGTAGAACTATGGTGAAAATGTGACGTCAGTCTAGTCGAACTATTGGTAGTTCGATTTAACCATAGTTTCACTTTCGTTACTATTGTTCGTGATCGAAGTCGCCCTATGTATAGCATATGATCTCGTGGATGGATGCTGTATTTTTTCATGTACAAGGTCAATTAGCTCCAAAATACATGGTCTTGGAAAACGATACCGAGCTACGATTGCGGTGTCATTGAATTTGTCCAAAGGGTTTGACCGGTCTCGAAAAACCCTTTCCCGACGCCTTACTCTCTCCGAATGGAATAAAACAACAAACGCTGCAGCCATTTTTGTTTACATTTATTTCTGTCTTTGGATTAATATTAACGTTAATTATTTCACGTAAGTACAATATTTTGTACTTACGAGAGGGTTAGGGCTGTCGTAAAGTTACGACAGATTTTGCACTTAGGGCTTTCTTAAGAATTTTTGTGAAAACGATCGACTTTTATCGTAAGTTTTCACCGAAGAGAAATATATGTCGTAAGATTTTTTGTGAAAAGGTCTACAGAAGCAGAGCAAACACGGACCTCCAAAACATCAGGTGGGATCAGGTTGTAACACAATGAACGTATAAATTATAAGTTTAATTGATATATTAATTTGTACAGTACATTTATCTATGTTTTAATATTGTGTTATGAATTATAATTGATACTATCAGTGCGTAGAGCGACGGACAATAATATTTAAATTACGAACTTGTTTACAAACTCTGGGAGATAGAATACAATAACAGAGCGTCTTCATTTGATGGACAATTAGTTTTTACGATGTGTTGTTCTCGAGCATTGACACTTCCAATCACACTTTGTGCAGAGCTGCAGCCATCTAATTAACTGAAGAATGTGCAAGATGCATAATGTTAATGTAAACAGAGGACATTACCGTATCCTATAAGGAGATGGGAGACAGAGCTTCAGTGAGGGGCGGACAATGTTAATATTAATGAAGTGACACTCTAACTAACTTATTGCTATTACCAAATATGTGAACCCTATGATGCAGCTTCTTGTACAAAAGATGCGCGCACTGAGTATCAATAGCTTTTACGATCCTAGCTCCGAGATGAACTACTAAGAGCTTTTAACATCTTAGCTCCGAGACGAACTATGAGAGCTTTTACGAACTTAGCTCTGAGACTTATGTGATGCAATGACTATGTGAGCTTTCACCATCTTGGCTCCGAGATCTTTATAATTGAACTTACCCTGTACCATTGTTTGTTTAACCTTTGCTGTGACTTTATAATAAAACTATAAACTTACAAAAGTCTTCTTAATCCAAACACATTGGCTAATTGTGTTATAAGGTGTCATGGAGGAGTGGGCATCCCCTGCTGACCGGTCACACCCGCCGTGTGCTCCTTGTCATGATCGGGAAATAACGGAAAAATCCGTCGTCAATTCAGTGTATAAATGACGGACTAACAATTAGTATGAAAAAAACGTCAGTCAGCATTTGACTCAATAATGTCAAATTGTATTTGCTGACAAATCATTGTATCGACCAAAGAACTTAGGAAATGATGACTTTAAACGAGACTGCTGATATTCTTGTTTCATCAACTTGTTTGTCAATAATTTACCCCGTTTTAGAAATTGTTCTTGGCATGCTCTTGGGTATCGAATTAACTGAGATTTTTAAACGCCGTATGCAGGTGATGATTCTAGGTATATAGCTGCATAAGTAAGGGAAGTTGACGATGGAAAAGTTAAAGTCATTACGTTTATCATATAGCTTGGTTGTTAGATTACCATTAACGTCCTTTTCAAATAAGATATCCAAGTATGAAAACAGATATGTCAAACTCTTTGGTATCTTTTATCTCAAGCTCACCAGGATATATCATATCGACATAGGAATGGAAATAATATTACCATTGTAAATTGAAAATACGTCGTCGATATAACTAAATGTTGAGTTGAAGGCCACAGTAAGTGTTTTCTTTTTTTCACGCATAATGTTTTGCACAAATTCTGCTTCATATGAATACAAAAATAGGTCTGCTCATAACGGGGCGCGATTGGTACCCCTGGGAATTCCAATAAATTGTTTGAAGACCTGGTCTCCAAACACCACATAGATTTTGTCAATCGGAAACTCAAGCATCTTTTTGATGTCAACTTCAGAGTACTTGTGTGTGCAATCAGAATGTGTTTTAACAAAATAATTTTGCAAATGACCAAACAAGTTAATATGAACACTATAGATTTTGTGTGTCGACATATACGGTTAAATATACATAGATTAGTACATGAACGTGCAATGCACGAGTATGGTAGTCAAAAATACGTGAATATTTATTGTGAAAATTTATTTTATGTTGAACTGAAATTCAAAATGAGACACTGTCTAAAGGTCAAATTCAAAGAAAATAGATACACTTGTTGTACAATAGATAAATATGGGTAATCAGAATATTCGTAAAATATTAAACCTCTGACATTTTTTTTTAACCTGTTTAAAAATCGCTAAAATTAACACTGATCAATAGAGTTATTTCCCCTGTACGTGACGTCATTAGAGACAATCAGCATCAGAAACCGTATATTGATATATAGTACCGTAAAAGTGGAAATTTTAGCGAGACGCAAATTTAGCTATTTGTCCTTAAAATTAGTATTTAATTTTTAGCGAGATGTAATTGAAGCGATTTTAAAAAGCTCACTAAAAAGCTTTTGCAAATAAAAGGCAATGAATTTTTAGCCATATTCAACTTAACCGATCTTGGCACCCTCGCTAATAATGCCAAAAATTAAATCCTCGCCAAAAAAAAATTCAGCTTATACGGTAAATAGTATTTTCGATTATTGTAAAAAAAAAAAAAAAAGGCAAATTCTAGCGATAGTGATGGTGTTATACCAAAGATAGACCTTTCAGTGAAGATAAGGCCTTACATATTTGAGCCATTCAAAGAAAATAACGTTACACAGATTGAAAACGATTCCTCGTCCTCTTCTGTTTCTTCCGATGGTGAGCATGGTGAAAGTGGAGATGGAAAATATTACAGCTGACCAGTGACCATCGCATAACGTAGCGAATGCAGATTACTGGTATTTAAATCCTTTTACTCAAGCACTCAATATAAAATAAAACTGTTTTAAGAAAATTGAGTATATGCCTTCTCATGATACTGTAGACCTACCTAATCGTAACTTCTTATAGATACGAGGACGTATCCAGGCCTCTGGTATATACATGCAATTATTTTTTAGACTCTATTGCATGATAGTAAAAAATCCGGTGTACGGGGATTTTTCTTTTTTATAAACAAAGATCGTCATCTCAATAATTACTATCGACTTTTTTTCAATTATCCCCCCCACCAAATGACAGTAATATTATTTGTAATGCCCCCTCCAAACTGATTCCTACCGTCCTGCATATATGCAATAAAATCTTCATCATTAACCAATTTCATGCAAAAATATTTTAAAATTAATATCACACAATTAATTAATTATTATTTTTTTAATATTGCCTGCTATCTGCTGGAATTTTCATTGAAATGGAGGAGTGCTAGCTGTAACCTGTGCATGTTTATATTGGTAGCAGAAAAAAAATAAGATGTGAACAGGTGATATTATTTGTTGTTAAAAGACCAATTCACTGTTTACTCACCTAGCTTTCATTTGGGCATGAAAGTAGTGGACCATTTTAAGTGAATAGTGACACAGAACTGTGGAAGGCTTCCAGACCAGATGTTTGTTCCCTTTTCCTGATGTCTGTCGACTCGTAGCAATCGTCCATTAACAATTCTTTTCAAATTCAGCATAAGCTTTAAAACCTGCACGTTAGAAATTGATGAATCCCCTTAGAAAATACTGAGCGACTTCACCATGGATCTGTGTTAAGTCGGTAGCGATATCGCTGTTAAGTTGGTAGCGATATCGCTATAAGTTGTGGAAGTACAAGGGTGTCCGATGCATGGTGATTTCATCCTATAGTATAGGGCTTCATCAAGAGATATACATGTCGAATAGCATGTTACTGAAAGCAGAACTGATAAAAACGTCAAACCAGAAGTCTCTGTCGAGACTGTAGCTCTACTGGTTTGTACTGATCAAAAACCAATGCACAGAATTATGTATCTTAGTGTAGTCTACTTGTGTGATAAGTTATATTGAAATCAGACCAAAACTGTAGAAGGAGTAGCATTTTAAAGGAATTCCACAGAAAATTCTACTTTTAGTAACCATGGCAACACCGTTCATCGAAATCAAAAACCGATGCACTATTATATGTAAATTAGTGTCGTTTACTTGTGTGCCAAGTGATAATGAAATCAGACCAAAACTGTAGAAGGAGTAGCGTTTTAAAGGAATTTCACAGAAAATTCTATTTTTAGTAACCATTGAAACACCACTCATCGAAATCAAAAACCGATGCACTATTTTATGTATCTTAGTGTAGTCTACTTGTGTGCCAAGTGATATTGAAATGAGACTAAAACTGTAGAAGGAGTAGCGTTTTAAAGGAATTTCTCAGAAAATTCTATTTTTAGTAAAAATGGCAACACCGTTCATCGAAATCAAAAACCAATGCACTATTTTATGTATCTTAGTGTAGTCTACTTGTGTGCCAAGTAATATTGAAATCAGACCAAAACTTTAGAAGTAGTAGCGTTTTAAAGGAATTTCTCAGAAAATTCTATTTTTAGTAACCATTGAAACACCGCTCATCGAAATCAAAAACCGATGCACTATTTTATCCATCTTAGTGTAGTCTACTTGTGTGCCAAGTGATATTGAAATGAGACTAAAACTGTAGAAGGAGCAGCGTTTTAAATGAATTTCACAGAAAAATCTATTTTTAGTAACCATGGCAACATCGTTCATCGAAATCAAAAACCGATGCACTATTTTATGTATCTTAGTGTAGTCTACTTGTGTGCCATGTGATATTGAAATGAGACTAAAACTGTAGAAGGAGTAGCGTTTTAAAGGAATTTCACAGAAAATTCTATTTTTAGTAACCATGGCAACACCGTTCATTGAAATAAAAAACCGATGCACTATTTTATGTATCTTAGTGTAGTCTACTTGTGTGCCAAGGAACATTGAAATCAGACCA